TTCTTCATCATCAGTGGCTTTTTTTTTTACTTTTTTGACTTTAAGATCTCACCTTGACACGTCTTGCCATTAGCCATCAAGTGGTAACCAGCCGGACAGAAACACCTGTGACTTCCTGGTGTGTTCACRCACTCGTGCTGGCAGGTGTCCCTTACTTCACACTCATTGATATCTGTTGGGAGTCACAAACACAAATATTTCCTTAGACAGGTGTTCTCGAACAATGTTTCTCTGTTAACTCGTCCTTGTTATCGCCTCAACGTCACCTGTCCTTCATAGTTACCTAAGCAGTGGCCACCCCTGGCTTCAAAACCCTCCTGACATGCAAGTACTTTCAGCTTTGAGGGGCGTTTGCGAGCCCCTCTGCGGCTCCTGTGGTGCCCTCCTGTGGTGGCCGTGTAGGAGTGGTAGCTGTGAGAGGCCAAGCTGTGGTACAGCCGCTGGTTCGGGCTGCGCTCAGCGGCAGACTGAGATGTTCGATAGCCGTACGAGTACGTTTCGTAGCTGGGCAGACGCTCGAGCCCAGCGCAGGACTTGCCATCCCCCAGCAGGTGGCGCCCTGGTGGGCAGGTGCACTTGAAGCYGCCGGGAGTGTTGATGCACTGATGGGCACAGGGCTGCGGAAGCCGCTCACACTCATTTATGTCTGCCCTCAGCACAAAGAAAAACCAGCACCAGGAAAAGTTGAAATGGACAAAGTAAGAAAAAATATATATATTAGAGGAGAAGAAGAAAAAAAGCAGAAATGAAATAAAGATTTAGAGCAATGAAAGAGGAGTATGAGAGAAGGAAAGGGAATATGTCAATTACCTCGCTGTATGACAATACATTTCCATATTTTTGAGAGAAATGTATTGAAACTATGCAMTTACACTTATACTGTATCTGTTACGTAAATAAGAGTTTTTGCTTTGCTTCTCTAAACATAGAAAAKAAATCTGAGTCTATATACGTCTTATCTAAAAGTAACATCAGACATTATCTTTGAACACATAACTCAATTTTATACAGATAAAAAAAGCAAACATCAGCGCTAAGTGTTAATGCCACAGGAGACAGGAAATTTAAGCCACTATAAAGCAACACCAGGAGATAGCCATGTCCAAACACAAAAATGACTGCGACAATTTGAAAAGTCAGAAATGGAAGAAAAAGAAAAGAAACAAAAACAGATAGAGCAGTAATGAAGTGGTGCTGGTCGGTTTTGGATCTGGTTTATGGTCATAGCACTAAAGTCCTCAGTACTGCCAGAACTCACAAGAAATWCAAGCAACTAGCTTAACGTCACTATAGCATAAGAAATATTATGCAAACAAAATATAGAAGACAGAAAATGGGAATAAAAATCTGTAAAAATCAAACATTTTTTTAAATTATATTTTGATTAGAGATGAAAAGTTTGCTAAAAATGGCAAATTTCTTGTCTTAAAGGATGAATTTCATACCTGCAAAAGTATGCAGTTGTTTAATCTAAATACTTCAGCAAATATCATGATATCATATCATTTTGCAAGCATGCAGGATCTGCATCACATGACAACAGTTTTATTCGTAACTTTGCACAAGTTGAATCACCAAATAAAAATTGGTAGCAGAAGCAAGCAAGCAGATGAAAGTATAGAGAAAGAGCAATGCACAAATATCCTTTGCTAATAAAATATCCTGAATACTGTATAATAATGTGTTTATTTTACTGCATGTGTTATATGTGTGTAATGATTACACGTACCGACACAAGGCCGTCCTACTCCCTGGGACCTGAAGCCACGAGGACATGTGCAGTGGTAGCTGCCTCTGGTATTCTCACAGATCTGGTTATATCTGCACCGATGGGTTCCATCTCTGCATTCGTCGATGTCTTTACCAGGACACAAAAGACCAACAGAGATCAAAACTGTAATCTCTGGCTACCTTTCATCAGTTAACGCTCTCCTCCTTTGAGCTGCTAGACACTCACCGACACACGTTCCGTTCCCACCTTTGGTCATCCCGTTCGGACACAGGTCGATGCACGTGTAACCACCCCGTGTGTTTTTACACTGCTGATCAGAGCGGCAAACCCTCTGCTTGCACTCGTTTATATCTGAGATGAAAAAAGTCAATTACAGTAAATCACTGCAGCCAAAATACTGTAAATACAGTATGGTGGTAATTTTGTGATCAATAAATGGAAGTTTGAATAATATAGCAGAAAAACAGTTCAATCTCTTCTAAAAACTTTATTCTTTTCTCTGACTCCAATCAGCTCCACAGCAGTAGGGCACCATATCAGAAAAGCAAAAACAAAGCTGCTCTAAAACAGAAACTGCACAGAACCTACTAAAAACCACCTGTAAAGTCTTCTGCCTCACTACAGTGATGAATCAACCTTTTAACATGCCTCTTCCTGGTTACACCCCTGAAGGTGTTTCCTTTTGCGTCAGACATTAGAACGTAAACAGAAAGAACACATCGATGAGACAAAGACACTCTCATTCTCTGTTTTAAACTTTATGGCTGCAATGATCAGAACATATAAAACTACAAATCTGGATCTAACCTTCAGGTAATCCGTCACCAAATTTCCTTCAGGTTCAAATGACACCTAGCGCTAAAACTATTGCAACCAATGCCAACCAGAATAACTCATATTGGTAAAGAGTTCTACAAGAATATAATATTGCATTTCTGAACAAAGAGAGGCCTTAATATCAGTTTATTTTTATATTTTGTGATGGATAGTCTAACCTAAACACCGTCTGTTCCTGAAGTGGAAGCCAGGGTCACAGGCACAACGATAGCTTCCTATGGTGTTTGAACAGTGTTGGTCACATGGATGGGACTCCTGACACTCATCCACATCTACACAACAAAACAAAGAAAAATCCACATTAGCTAACTTGCATGATTTAATCGGTTAAAATGTTTTGTTACATCARTTGTTGTACCGGTGCAGCTGAGGCCATCGGCAGTTCTCCTGAAGCCGTGACCACAGCGCATCACACATCTGTAAGAGCCGATGGTGTTTTCACAGTCTTGCCCACCGTGGCACACATTCCCGCCCAGCGAACACTCGTCAATGTCTAAAACAGAGGGGAGCGGTGAATAAATGTGAACGTTGACCAATTAAATTTATGCCTATTTAGTGCAGCTATCACATGTTTTGTACCCTGGCAGGTTCTGCCGTCAGCTGAGATAGTGAGTCCCCGCGGACAGGAGCAATAGTAGGTGCCCATGGCGTTGTGGCAAATGTGAGAACAGGGATTCCTGACCTCACATTCGTTCTCATCTGCATCAGGGAAAAACATTCACATTTCCAAGTGATATGAAATTGTTGTTTTATTGACGCAAACGCTGAAGTATATCATGATTTACCTGCACAGTAAGGCCCAGCAGACACTAAAGTGAAACCATGAGGACACTGGTTACTGCGATCCCCTGAAATCACATGAAAACACCTTCAATCTCAATCCTTTTGGTTCGTTGTAGAACGAAATTAAAGTTTAATAAAAATTAAATTCATTATTGAGAGCTAATGTAAAAAAAAATTTAAAAAAGTACCCACCTTTAGTGATCTTAGCTTGAATGCTGTACTCCAGCACTTCCTCCAGAGGGCGATAGAGAGCACTGATGGCTGTAGCATGGAGCGTTTCTACCAGATAAGGCATCTTTCCTTTTGTCCGATCGTAACTTATGGTATGGTTCCAGGAGTAGGGCACACTCTCCTTGTCAATGGTGAACATACGAGTGGACAGAGCGTACAGCTGGCCCGGTCCAGTCTGGATGTAATCCTCAGTGTAGTCCTGGAAGAACACATGGGGATGCTATTTGACCAGTTCGACAACGTACATTGAAGCTRTAATGCAAATGGCACCTAAATATGTGGAGTCACTTGCAAGTTAATGATAAATCTATTCTGTTATTTATTTTTGAACATGGAACATTAACGAATATAGTTTAAATAACAACAGTTTGTAATATTTTTATACCTTTATGTTGATGTCAGCATGTGAAGGCAGCTGGAGGATGTGACCGTTTACCACAATGTCCAGTAGCAGCACTCCATCAGAGTCCAGGCCCCTTACAATGTGGGTAATCCTCAGGATTTCACCTGCCAGAGTCCAGTTCCACTGAATGTTAGTCACCCCACTTGCTTCATGTGAAAACATGAAAGATTGCCTACAAGTAGTTCTACCTGTAGCAAACTCCACTTGGGTCTCTCGTCTAAAGAGACCTCCTGTTAGGGTGTAACCATTGACAGCATCTCCTACTTCCTGTGCAGTGGTCCAATAGATGGGGTTCAGGATGGAGATGAGTTTCCTCATTGCAGGACCTTAAATTAAAATATACTAAATTTAGCTTTCCAATCAAAACGAAAAGGAATCATTTACACATATGAACTTTACCTAATGTTCTTGGTACATTTGAAATAGTGGCTTTTATGAACCTGCTGCCAGACGGGCCGTCAGTGATGGTAGCATTAAGGAGGGCAATGCCAAACTCAATATCGTTGATGTTCCCTATAATGCTTCCTCGAGCCCTATGTGGCCCACCTGACAAATAGAGACAGTTTTAAGTGTGAACACACTATGTACAGAATCATAAAAATAATTCCCAGAAAAAAGAAGTTCACAAGACAAGATTCTCAAAAATGAAAAAACTCCAACATTCTGATGCATCTCAACAGTAAAGAAAAAAAAATACACAAAATAAAATAAAATAAATAAATGGAATAGGCCCTCTGTAGGGGTTCTTCTTTGTTAAAAAACGTTTAAAATTAAAAGTTAAAATATTAAATCAAATCTCAAGAAGTCCAACATTTCACTGATCACATCAACTCTGTGGACAAATATATAATATTTACACGAGAGGATATAAAAAATGGCCTGTGGTGTCTCAGAATGGAGGACAATTGAAAACTGATGTGTACCACAAACCCACCCACAAAAATCAGTCCTTGCAATTTGACTCCCATCATCCACTGGAGCCCAAGTTATGAGTCATCAGGACTCCGCAGCCAGGGAGAAAAATAAATCACATACAAGACAGGCCCTGGAGCAGTGTGGTTGTCCAAACTGGGCTTTCCTCAAAGCAGACAAGAAACCCAAACAGGACTCCAGGTGAAATGGAAGACCCCAAACCCAGACCAGTAATCATTCCGCATGTTGTGGAAGTTTCAGAGAAWCTGACATGTTTATTTTATAAACATGACATCCCAGTGGCTTTCACACCCAAAGACTGKTTCACCCCAAAGATCCGGTCCCCGGCACAGAGCAATGTTCTGTATGCTGTTAAGTGCCAGGAGGACCAGTTATACATAGAGGAAACAAAGCAGCCACTGTTCAAAAGGATGGCCCAGCACAGAAGAGCAACATCATCAGGCCAGGACTCAGCAGTTTACACTCATCTACAGGCCAGGACTTGCAGTTTACACTCATCATCAGGCCAGGACTCAGCAGTTTACACTCATCTACAGACCAGGACTCAGCAGCTTACACTCATCTACAGATCAGGACTCAGCAGTTTACACTCATCTACAGACCAGGACTCAGCAGTTTACACTCATCTACAGACCAGCAGTCACTCTTCCAAGGATGAAGATGTTCTCATCMTTGATATGGAGGAACATCTGTGTGATAGCGGAGTAAAGGAAGCCATTTTGGTGAGGAAAAAAATGTTTGTCRTTWAACAGGGGTTGAGGTCTYAGTGYCYAATTGTCCCGATCTTACAGTGCTGTTCTTACGAGTATGACTCAGTCATCTGTGCACAATAGGCGACAATCAGGGCACTAACAGTTGTTAGGCTGATGGTCCTCTTTTGTATTTGAACAATTTTTATTGTCATAGTTAAAGTTGCTTTTTCATCATGTGAAAGTATTGCTTATAAAGCTGAGCTTACCTGTCACTCCTCAGACTGAAGTCTCTTGAAGAAGAGACAAAACATTTTGAAAAAAATGACCTACTCAACTTTTTTTAGATACCAACATAATTAGAAAGTGAACAAGTGGCCGGACATTCTTATATTCTTATGGTATGTCATACCTGGACAGGCCTGAATGTTACACCTGGACAGCTGAGTGGAGTCTCCCGGACAAGGTCGGCCACCACCACTAGGAGATGGACTGTTACAAAGYCGAGCACGGGTTTTCTCTCCACCTCCGCAGGAAGAGGAACAGTCTCCCCATGGCTGCCATAAGCCCCAGTTCCCATCAACTGCAGTAATAAACCCCCAAAACACAGCAGTTAGTAGCATATCAAACACATTTTTAAATATTAACCCTGATCAAACTTTAACTAACCGGGGCAGTCAGCAGTGCTGCATCTCTGAATCTGAGCATCGGTACCGGCACAAGATCTCCCACCATGAGCTGGTCTGGGGTTGTCGCAGGTCCTGTAGCGCCTCGTCTGACCTCCGTTACATGTTTTGCTACAGCTGCCCCAGCTGCTCCATGGACCCCAGTTACCACTGACTGACAAAGTGGAGAAAAGTATTAAATTCACAAGAGGAAATAGATTGCAAAATGTGGAAAACACGTAAATAGAAGTGAAATGCTTCAATTGTAAAAAGAAAAAACTTACTGGGACACGGGTCACTGTTACAGAAATCAGTATGTACATCGTTCCCCTCGCATTTTCTKCCACCATGCTGAGGGGCAGGGCTAGCACAAAGGCGTGTCCTCTGTCTGGTCCCACCCCCACAGGAAACACTGCAGGCACCCCAGCTTATCCACGATGACCACTTTCCATCCACTGGAGCACATAAGTAGAATTGAAAGATACTATTGTTTAATWTGATTTTACAATCTGCCTCTCAGAGGCGACATTTTCTTAAAGCATCACTTTACCTGGACAAAGTCTCTCCTTGCACACTTGTGTCTGCGTGTCTGTTCCCTCACACTGCAGCCCATCAAAAGCTGGAGKGGGGTGGTTGCACAGTCGGATCCTGGACTGTATGCCTTTACCACAGGTCTCGCTGCAAGGACTCCATGGTAGCCAGGACCCCCAGTTACCTGCAACTGTGAGAGCATGTTTGCTTTGACCTTGTCTTAAAACCTTTCTACACTTGACCCCACGAGTGTTTCTTGAATGTCACAAGTCTTCTGTACTACTAGAATGAAATGTACTTTCTCACCCGGACAAGGCCTGACACTGCACATGATGACCTCCACTGCCTTTCCCTCACATGACCTGCCTCCATGTCGAGCTGGCGGGTCACTGCAGGTGCGGACCCTGGTTCTGTTTCCCTGGCCACAAGTTTGTGAACACTCCTCCCAGGGAGACCACTCTGACCAGTTGCCATCCACTGTACAGGAATAAAGAGTGCAAAAACATTTTTTTCACACATTTACAAGCATAATAAAGGGAATGCTGAATTTTCTAAATGTGTTTAATTGAAGTTCTCCCACCTGGACATGGTTTTCCCTGACAAATAYGTGTTTCTGTGTCAAATCCTGCGCAATGACGGCCCCCATTGGCGGGTAAAGGATTGTTACATTGCCTCAGCCTTTTTTGGATRCCAACACCACATGATACACTGCAGAGGCCCCACTCTGCCCACTCTGAGTATCCTCCATGAACTGCAAAACATATCATTCTTCTTACACCGTTTATAAAAAACCGAACTTGATAGAAATKATTGTAACCTTTCACAAAAATGACCAAATAGCATTTTTCAGCTCAGCTTTAAAGCCTCCACATACGAAGCCAAGCAGTTGGCACAAAGTAAAAACGAGAGCCGATTGCAGCAGTTCGGATGTAGTACGCAGAGGCCTTTAACTGTTGTACAGATGTAAACAGATACCATGAAATTGGCCAATCTGCAGCTCACCTTGCACAGTGACAGTGACCCTGATCAGCATCGATCCAAGCAAGTTTCTGGCCACACATTCATATTCATCTGTGTCCTCCTTCTGGGCACTGATGATCCTGAGGGAACTGTTGGACAAGGTGGAGAAGCGACCGGTGACCAGTAGGGGGCGTCCTTGGCGAGACCACTCTATCATGGGCGYGGGCTCACCCTCCGCCTGACAATTTAGTACAACAGTTGTGCCAGCATCCACCACAGTTGCGACCGGCTCCACAATTATAGTGGGTGCACCTGATAGAACAGAATATTTCTATTAGATTAAGCACTCACTAGAACAGTGGTTCCCAAATTTTTTGTCTTCTGACCCACTAACTATCCATGGCAAAAACTTGTGACCCCAAGTATTACTGGTCTGAGT